CGCGGGGTGCATGGGCGCTGCTGGCACATGGGCGCACGGCACAGGAGCAGCGCCGGCCCCGGGCATGCAGCTCATGAGCTGTTCTGGCCCTGGGTGCACGGCATATGGGCAGCCCCACCCCTGGGTGTGCGGCATAGGAGCAGCGCCAGCACCGGGAGTGCGGCGCATGGGTGGCGCCGGCACCGGGCAAGCGGCGTATGGATGGCTCTGCCCCTGGGCGCATGCACGGCCCCACCCCCAGGCACCCGGCGCATGAGTGGCCCCGCCCCCAGGCACCTGGCAGCCCCAAAAGGTTGGGGACCACTGCTCTAAGGGGTGAAGCAACCTCGGCTGGATCACAGAGGGCACCCAGCGTGCCTGGGGCTGGCTCAAAGTTCCTTGCCGCATTTTGGCAACAGGACTGGACATACTGATGGAGGTGAGGGAGTGGAGAGAGGCTTTGCTGAGCCACAGCCTATCCCGCTGAGCTGACCATGCCCAGAAAGCCAGGCACTGGGGAGCTCAGGGGCTGAGCAGCCACCAGGACCCAGTTGGAGTCAGTGAGAAATTCTCAGGTAGACTAGTTTGTTTCTGCATCTCCTGGCTCTGCAGCCTGGCCTGCATCCTCCCTTCTGTGGGAGGAGCTGTCCAGGAGACCCTTTTTGCCCCAGCACTGGCAGCTTGTGGCTTTAACATGATGCCTGAAGCTTCCCAATTCATTTGTCCCTGCCACCCCTCTGCCTGTCCGCCCCTCTCCCCACATGACACAGGCCTAGAAGGCAAGTGACCTAGTGTTCCCCAGGGTAGGCGATGAGTACAATTAGGACTGGGATATGGGCCCATTCTGCCACCCCCCGCACTGGACAACCCTCCTCTCCACCTCCCAGTACCGGGATCTGCTCCCTCCATGCAGCCTCCTCTCACCATAAACCACAAGCTTGACTCTCCGCTGCACAGAGCCGGCCTCGTTGGTTGCCCAGCACGTGTAGTCTCCACTATCGCTGGGCAGCACGGAGACGATCACCAAGGAGCCCTCCTCCAGCACCAAGGGACGTGGGAAGCTGCCCAAGAGCTCGGCAGAATTCTTCAGCCACAGGACAGACGGCTTCGGCACGCCTGTGTGACAGCCAAGGCAGGGGAGTGTGGGCCAGCCAGCTGCAGCTCCTGCTAGGCAAGAGCGACTCGCACAGATGCCCATTTCTCGATACCCCAGTCACACTCCCACACCCCAACGTTTGGCAAAGTAGAAGCCGCAGGGTGGGTAACACCTGTTAGAGGAACAGCTGCTGCCTGCAAAATCGAGATTTCAGTGGACACCCCTAAAACGTAGGGCTGTGCTCAGACCAAGCGGGAGCCATCTGAGTCCTATCTTGGGCAGTAGCTGGCTCCGGCTGCTTAGCCCGTGACTGCCAATCCCAGTTCCATAGTGCCGCTGGTGGTCCCTGTCAGCGCTGGCTTCAGTGGCCAGCTCAGCCCACATGTGAAATGCTTTGTACAACCAGAAGTTACTCCTAGAGCCCTAACAGGCTGGTGGGCTCCAACCTTTGCCAGTGCACACCATGCTGACAGCCACTAGGAGGCGCTCCAGGTACACGTTTACTTCCTAACTCCTTCCCTCCCCTGCAGCGCCAGGCTCAGCTAAGGGGAAGCTAATAGCACAATCTCCCAGGTGGACAGGGGGCTGCATCCCCTCCTGCCATCCCCCCCAGAGAGCATTGCCTGACATGCCTCCCCCAGGGCAGACCCTTGCCATGCCGTGATGGCTGTACCCTGAGGCCAGAGACACTGTTATCACCCCGTTTCCTGGGGTGCCCCTGACTTACAGGGGTGGTTGAATATTCTCATTGCAAGAAGTACCACACCTTCCTAGCGCGAGTGACTTGTAGCATCTCCCTCCCATACAGCATGGGACCGTCTGCCCTCCCGCTGGCCATTGTGGTGACCCCCTTGCAGAGCTGCCCAGCGGGCACCAAGACTGTCTCCTTTCCTGCTGCTCTTACATGCACCCAGACTGTTCTGGGCAAAGAAGAGCCCCGGCTCCTACAGAAGCAGCTGGAGAGGAGGGAAAGGGGCCAGCACTGCCCAAAAGGGTCCTCCAGGGTCTCTAGGGCTGGGCTAGATGGACCTTTGGTCTGACCCAGGACGGCCATTGTAAGCTCAGGGCTCAGGGTCGGGGGTCTCAGTGGACCACCCTGATTTTCATGCACACCTGCTCCTGGGTGGCCAGGCTGGCAGCTCTCCTGCCCTAGACGGACACTTTCCTGTGCCTAGTGCAGAGGTCGTGGACGATGTCCACGATGTCCGCACTTGACCAGGCGGGTGCCCGCCTCTTGCGGTCCCGGGCAAGCTCCCGGGAGCCGCCAGCCTGGTCCCGGGAAGAGGGGGAGGGCTGGGGGGCATCGGGTGGCTGGCTCGAGACGTGCCAGGTGCAGGGTCTGCTGGCTGGGTGCTGGCAGGCTTGCACCTGGCACGGGCACCGTAGCCAGCCCGTGCCCCTTTAAGGGATCCGGGGCCGGGAGGGGGGCAATAGAGTTTCCCTGGTGTTGGCCAGAGTGGCCACCAGGGAAAGCTGGGGAGGGCTAGCCTCCCACTAGTTCGAATTAAGGGGCTACACACCCCTTAGTTCGAACTAGTAAGTTCGAACTAGGCTTAATCCTCGTACAATGAGGTTTACCTAGTTCGAACTTAGCGCTCCGCTAGTTTGAATTAAGTTCGAACTAGCGGAGCGCTAGTGTAGCGCCTATGAAAGTTAATTCGAACTAACGTCCGTTAGTTCGACTTAACTTTGTAGTGTAGACATACCCTTATTCTAGAGCCCTCCCCACAGCTCAAGGACTTGGTCTCTTACCTTTCACTGCACAGGGAAGAGTGACATTCTCATGCAGTACTCGTTCTAGCAGGACATCTGCACTGTCGTTCAGGTGGGGGGGCTCTGGAGGGGACACAAGTTGCCCTAATGGTTTATTTGGTCCCGTTTGTGACTCTCAGGCCTAATCCCCTAGAGGAGAGTTTGGTCCCTCCCCACAGCTCAAGGACTTGGTCTCTTACCTTTCACTGCACAGGGAAGAGTGACATTCTCATGCAGTACTCGTTCTAGCAGGACATCTGCACTGTCGTTCAGGTGGGGGGGCTCTGGAGGGGACACAAGTTGCCCTAATGGTTTATTTGGTCCCGTTTGTGACTCTCAGGCCTAATCCCCTAGAGGAGAGTTTGGTCCCCTGAGGTCTGGCCCCTTTGCAGACTCGTCTCAGGGAA